CGCCGCCGCCGCCCCCCCACACTGACAGGGTTGCTGGCCCGTAAGGAGTATCTAAGGCGGCACCCGTCCCGGCTCCCCTAGCCCAGGACCTGCTCCCAGCGCCTCACAGAAAGACACGTCTCCGCCACTCCCGCCGGCGTCCCGCGGTACCACTTCCGGTTGGAGTCATCGCTCCCGTCAGAAACACACACACACACCACACACACCCCTTCTAACTTGTCTCCTTTGCCGGGTCCTAAGAGACCAGGCCTCAGCAGGGCCGAGGTCCTAAGCGTCCAGAGCGGGCGGCCGGCGCTATTGCCATGTCGAGTGGGCGGCTCAAACACCAGGAACTTTTATTCCTGGGCTCGAGGTCCAAACGGACCCTTTTCAGAAGCGGACGCTATAGGTCTTCCGCAGCAGGTGTAGAGGTGGCAGAGGCTCTGCCTTCTTATTTGCCGGTCGCGACGGACGCGGCTTTGCTGTCTTTAAAACTGAGGTCTCCGATTCTGAGGCTGACTGCTCGTTTAAAATCCAAACAGGAGAGCGGTTGTCCGGACATTTCCCAAGCGGAGCCGGAATCACCGGGATTCCGCGGGCCTGTGCTGCTCAGCAACTGTGCCGAACTCGTGTGTGATTGGCTGGAGCCGACCGGGCGCAGGCGGGCCTCGCCCCAGGCCACGCCCACTTGGGTATAAAGTGACCCCTCCCGGCACTGAAAGTACCTGTGGGTTTCGCGGCGGCCGTCATGGAGAACCGAGCCTCCCGCGAGCCAGAAGCCGGCGAAGTGCTGCCGCAGCACAAGTTCGACTGCAGGCCCTTGGAGGCCTACCTCAGCCTGCACTTGCCCGGCTTCGGGGCCGAGCCCGAGGCCAAGCTGACCATTGCCCAGTACAGGTATCGCCACTAGCCTCCTCCAGTCGAAACGAATCTGTGCGTCGTGCTTTTCTCCCTTTGCCCCTGGGTGGGTTCCCGATGCCCCGCCGCCCCAGTTTCTTCTCCTGCAATGACACACTCTGCAGGCGGGAGCTGGCATGGCATTCGGGGAATTTCCAGTTCGTGGGCAATTATGGAAGAGGCCCTAGTCACGATTCCAACTATGAGAAGGAATCTCCGTTCAGGGATGCAATTCTGCACCTCGGGGATTCACTGAGGCTTGGAAGCCCTGTGGGGTATACAGAGGCCTTCGCTCAACTTTTGTTCTATAACCATTAACTTTTTTCCCCCTGAGAAACAAGTGTTACTCCTTTATAATTGGCCATATTCTCGGAGGCTGGCCTAATAGCCCCACCTGGGGGATTCGAATTCTAATGGTAGATCTTCCACTTGGCAAACCACACCGCCACTTTGGGCTGTAGTTCTGGGTGCTGGAGGGGAGCCCTGCAGGGCCTCTAGTGTTGCATAAACTCTCTGAGAGCTAGTTTCCTAACCTGTAACAAATACCCGGCTGTTCTGAGTAATCCTGATAATTAAATGAAGTACAATAGGTGAAAGGATTTAAACATGGCAACAGAACTATATACCAGTGGCATTTATCACTACCATCTTTATTCCTGATTAGAGTTAAAAAAAAAAAATAGTGGCAAAGGACCTGGATAAAAGAGAGTTTTGAGGTATAATTCAGGTTTAAGGCACGTAGTCCCAGTAGACAATGGAGGATGAAGGAGGAGGTGGAATAAAAAAACAGCTGAGGTTTCTAGCCTAGACGTTTTGTGTTGTAACAAACTAAAACAAATCAAAGTTCAAATTTCCACGAGGCCACTTGCTGTGGAAATCTGGATGGTGATTTAACCCTTTTGAGCATTGAGTCCTCCTTTGGTAAAATAGAGTAATATGTATCTCCTAGAATTGTTGGAGAATTATCTAATTGAAAAATACCTAATTCTGAATTAGGTTGGATGTTAAAATAACCAGGATTGTGCTTGTTAAATGAAATCAGTTGTGGCGTAAATAGTACAGGCATACCTTGTTCAATTGCACTTAGCGTTATTTCACTTCACAGATGTTGTGTTTTTTTTACAAATTGAAGGCAAAATCCTTCCACCAGCAAAAAGATTAAAACTCACTTTTATTGCAGTTGTCTGGAAACAAATCTGCAATATCTCTGAGGTATGCCTACATAGTATATGGATAGAACTATCCCACAAAAAATACATATTTCCTTCCAGAACACATGAAAAAGTTTATGAAAATTGAAGACATGTTGGGCTACAAAGAAAGTTTCAAAATTTCTGAAGTGTCAATCTTAAAAAAAATTCAGAATATGAATACCAAAAGTTTATAAATCAACTGAAGAAAGAGCTATCAAATACATGTTTAGAAACTAATTGATTCATGGATTTAAAAAGCCAATAATCTACAGATAATAGAGAGTTTATCAAAGTTCAGTATGGAAAAACTAACAAACCAATAAAATGTAATCTTAAAATGTATAATTAATAAAAGCACCAAAAGTATAAATTGCCTAGATATTAATCTAATAAAATCTGTGCAAGACTGTCATAAAATTTTATTAGACTTTTAAAAAGAATTAAACTGACAGATGACAATGTTCATGAAAAGAAAAATTCAGTAGTGCATTTTTCCCCAACTTATATGTATAGATTCAGCACAATGGCAATAAAAAATCTTAATTTTTTCTCTAATTTGAGAAATTACTCGTAAATTTTATGTGCAAGAGCAAACGGCCAAGAATAGCAAAAACACTCCTGAAGATGAAAAGTAGGAAATTTGAATTAAGAAGGCATGATATTAGCACAGAAATAGACCAATAAAATCAGAGGGTCCACCAAAACGACCCAAATATTTATAGAATTTTGATATATGGCAATGCTGGCATCAAGAATCAGTGTGTGTACAATGAAATACTATGCTGCTGTAAAAAAGAAACAACTCTTACCATTTGCAACAGCACAGATGGACCTGGAGAGCATTATGCTAAGCGAAATAAGCCAGTCGGAGAAAGATAAACATCATATGATCTCACTCACTTGTGGAATATATGAACATAAACTGATGAACAAAAATAGATCCAGAGGCATAGAAACATCGAACAGACCGTCAAACCTCAGAGAGAAGACAGGGGAGGGGAGGGGAGGGGTAAGAGATCAACCAATGTCTTGTATGTATGCATATAAGCATAACCAATGGGCACAGTAGCAGGGGTGAGGGCAAGTGCTGGGGGGTGGGAGTAGCTGGGGAGAGGTCAAATGGGGGGAAAAGGAGACAAATGTAATACTTCAAGCAATAAAGAATTTAAATTAAAAAAAAAAAGAATTTGTGTGTAGAGAGGACTTTTCAATAAATTACATAGGTATAATTGTTATATGTATGAAAATATTGAAATTAGACCTTTTCATTACCTCACAAAGTTCCAGGTGAATTCGCGTTAAAGGTAAAACTAAAACCATTTGGAAGTCATATAGGAGATAATTGTTGACTTTGGAGTAGAGAATAAATTCTTTAAAAAGACAAAAGACTCCTTAAAGAAAGTGAAATTAAAAAGAAATGTTTGCAATATATACGTATAATGGTTAAAAGGTTAATAAACAGAATGTATAAAGAACTCCAATAGCCCAACAGAAAAACGGTTAACAGACTGGAAGATGCTCGAGATCACTGCACCTCGAGTATTCAGTGAAAGGCAAATTGAAACAATGAGATACCATTTCAGATCTCCATATTGCCTTTTTTAAAAATCTGACAATTTCAAACAAGTGGCTGGGTTATGGGGCAACAGAGACTCATATCCACAGTTGGTAGGAATGTGAATTAACTACTTTGGAAAACAATTTGATATGATCTTTTAAAGATTTAAATGGAAAAATAGACATGCCTCAAGACACAGCAATTCTTTTCCTAGAGGTAATCTACAAAAATGTTCATTGCACTGTTTGTAATAGCAGAAATAAAGGAAATGACACAATGTTCATCAGTAGCAGACTGGATGAATAAATTATATATATGATGGAATACTATACAGTGAAAATGATTCAGCTGCAGATATATACAACAACACAAAATTTAAAAAATGGACAAATAAGCAGTATATTGTTTAAGGGCGTAAACTTCAAAGGAAAGATAAATTTAATAATCAGGACAGTAGTTACTCTGAGGGGAGGGGCACACAGGGCTTCAGAGATAACAGTAATTTCCTTAAACTGGGTACTGAGAACAATGGTGTTTACTGTGTTATTTACACTACAAATCCTGTAACTATTCTTTTTTATCTATGCAAATTTGATTTTAGAATTTGTGAAAATCATTGGAAATACAAAATATTTAGAATTAAATATTGAAAGCATTTAATAGCTCAATACAACAAAAGTTGTGTTTTGCAGTTACGTGTCTAATATGTGCATGGCATCGCTCCAATCATTGGAAATATAACAAACAAAAAATCTTGCCTTCTTGGAATTCCTCTTCTATTTGAAGAATACAAACTATAAATAAACATTACAGTGTAGGAGAAGGTGATACATACTATGGAGAGAAATAAAGGAGAATAGGAAATGTTTGGAGTAGGGAGCAGGAAGGCCTCATTTGAGAAGGTGGCATTCAGCAAAGACTTGAAGGAGATGAGGTTATGAGCCATGCAATTATCTGGGGGGAGAACATTCCAGGCAGAGGGGGGACAGCAAGCACAAAGGTTCTTAAGTGGGAGTGTGCCCAGTGTGTTGAAGGAATACAAGCCAATGTGACCAGAGTGGTGGAAACAAGGAAAACAATGGTCTGTTGGCCATTATAAAGACTTTGGCCTTTACTTTGAGTTGAAATGGAGAGAAATTAGGGTTTAGGGGACAGATGGGGGACTGAGTTGTCTTTTTAGTCTCTGCCTGTTGTGTTTGATTGACAGGGACAAAGTCAAGGAAACCAGTTTGGGGCAGTGGTCCAGTTGAGAAATATTAGTGGCATAGACCAGGATGGTAGTGTAGAATAGGTGCAAAATGGTCATAGTCTGGGTTTATTTGAAAGGCTTTACTGACTGATCAAATGTGGGAGATGAAAGAAAAAGAGACAACTAGTATTCCATTTTGTCTTGGTAACTGGAAGGATGGAGTTACCATAAAATAAAATAGAGGTGATTATAGAGAAGCAGATTTGAGGCTAAATGTCAGATCTCCATTTTGGAATGTTAAGTTTCAAGATGCCTTTTAGACATCCAAGTGGGTCTGTGCGGTTAACAGATATAAGTTTGAGGATCAGGACAGAGGTCTGGACTAGACATGTGCATTTAGTAGTCATTGACGTAGAGATGGTATTTAAAGCCATTAAATCATAGAGCTTACCTAGAAAATGAGTCTGCATAAAGAGGTCTAGAAACAGTCCTAGGCACCTCAGTGTCAGGAAGATGTAGAATCAAGGAGGAGGCTGCAATGGAGTAAAAGAAGGAATGGCTGTAGAAGTAGGGAGAAGTCATGGTTTCATACCATAACAGTATTAGTGGCCTTGAAAAAAAGTAGTGGAAAGATCTGAATGAAAGCTTGATTGAAATGGGTTTAAGAGAAAATAGGAGAGGAACTGGATCAGGGAGTGTAAACTCAAGTTTTTCCATAATAAGGGAGTAAAAATGTTTTAAGTAGAGGGAGACAGGGAATCAAGATAAGTCTTTTAAAAAAATATATAGCATGTTTGTATATGCTGGGTGCCAGTGATCCAGAAGAGAGAGGGCAGTACAAAAAAAAAAAAAGGAAGAAGAAGAAGAAGCCACAGGGGCTAACTATTGGATGCAAAAGCCACCAAACCAGGATACCAGTGATCGAGAGAGGGGAAAATTGTTCAGGAGAGAGTGGAATGAAGTCGAGTAGGCAAGAGTGGGCTGGGATCTAATTCACAAGATGTGGGAGTCTCCTTAGATAGGAATGTGAACATTCTACAGACTTTGCAGGGAAGACACAGTATATGGGCACAGATGCTTGTGTGCAGTAGATATGGCAGTGTAAGTGTGTAGAAGTTCTCATCTAATTGCTTTTGTTCTCTCAGTGAAATAGGAAGCTAGAGTCAGCTGAGAGTGAAGATGGAGGAAAAGGTGTTGGAAATTTGAAGAGGAGAATTTGTGAAATAGTTACCCAAGAGCATGGGAGATTAAGTAGGCTAAAGAAATATATTATGGTTGCCACACAGGGTTCACTTTGAAGTTCATGGTCATGAATTGGAAGCAAGAATATTTATTTTAGTAGATATTATTGATACTTTGCCCAGATTCTTTTGGATCCTTTTTATTATTTCCATGTACACTGGTTTGGTGGCTTTTTTGTTTGTTTGTTTTGTTTTGTTTTGTCTTTATACTGCTCTTGGCATACTGGAAGCTCCTTTGCCCTGAATGTTGCAATGCCCAGGATGGCCCTTAACCAATGACTGTTGGGTTCAGAAGTATGAAATGCTCATTATTCTTCATTTAAAGATATGACAACTTTCAGATATAACTTACACTGCAAATATTTTTCCCATTGTTTTTTAGAGAGAGAGTAGAAGGGATGAGGGGAGAGAGAAAGAGGTAGAAAGAAAGCTGGGGGGACGTTGATGTAAAAGAGACCAGGGATTGGGGGTGGGGTGGGAAGTGAACCCAAAACCCAGGTACCTGCCCTTGGTCACAAATTAAATCTGAGGTGTGTGGGCCAATCCTCTAACCACTGTGAACAATACTGGCCAGGGCCTTAGGGGATATTTTGCCTCTGTGCTTCTCATCTCCTGCTTTGTACATTTAAGTCTCTTGGACCATTTACTCAATGTTTTCCATGCTCAAACACTATGGCATCAGTCTTTTAATCTTTGCTTTTCTTTTTTTTTTAAATATATTTTATTGATTTTTTTTTTACAGAGAGGAAGGGAGAGAGATAGAGAGTTAGAAACATCGATGAGAGAGAGACATCGACCAGCTGCCTCCTGCACATCTCCCACTGGGGACGTGCCTGCAACCCAGGAACATGCCCTTGATCGGAATCGAATCTGGGACCCTTCAGTTTGCAGGCCGACGCTCTATCCACTGAGCCAAACCGGTTTCGGCAAATCTTCTCTTTTCTTGATCTCTATCTACAGCATACACATTTGAGATACTATTGGCATCAATATCACAAGTTACTTCAATCTGTACAACCTATAGGCTGCAGGAGGGATGTCTGTGAGTTCAAATTTGCCACACTGGTTGTTATCCTTCACAGCGCTCATTCAATTTCATAAGCCTGAATGAACACACAATTGTCAGAACAGATGGCGAAGGTCTAATTCATCTTGGCATGAACTGTTGTATTACACTTGATGAGAATAGTCATTACTTCACCTATGGTTCAATACCAAAGGAAAAGGTGTCATATCAAAGAGCAGCAAATCCTGAATATTTTCAAATCTCTAGTCAAGGGACAAGATGGCTGCCTACATAGCTGCAAACATAAGTAACACCCTTATCAAGATTAATGCTTCTTCAATTTCTTGCTATTGAAAACAATCTTGTAGGGTTTTCTAAGTTTCTGAATTATGGAGATGCTGCTTATTAGGATGAAGTCATAGGCCTAAGACTTGTCTACCATGATGTGAGGAAGGGATTAAAAACCTTTTCTTCTTCTCTGCAGACAAATTAAGTTAGCTTTCTAGCTCTGTTATTCTGGAAACTTGCTAAAGATGGCATTTCCAGGCAACATTACTTACGGTAAAAAATCATATCTAATTGATCCAGTGCGTCTGATCTGGAAGGCCTATGAATGAACTACAAGTATCTGGTGGGATGCTTTGGGTTTGCCTAAGTACAATGAGGGCTCACTACTGGTCATGCTCCTTGCTAGGACCCTGGAAAGGGTTCCCAGAGGACTGCTACTAGAGGTAATGGCTCCTGTGGAGCATGAGGCTTCTAAACCAGGTGGAACCCATACTCATCCATTGTGGTCTTATTTCTTGGAACCTGAGCTATCACCAAAGGGACAGAAGGGTCATAGAATAAATCAGAAACTCATCTGCTACTGCCCTGCTAGTGTACTGTATTTCCATTTCACATGCTTCTAAAAGAGCTAGTGCTGGGGGTTGCCTGTTAGGGCCTTTTGAAATTGATTATGTAGTCAGTCTTATTCAAACATTGAGTGTTCCTAATTGTACACTTAAATGCAAAGATTTCATTTTGTGATTTAAGGTTGGACAAATAAAAAGTGCCACCTCTTTGGTTATAGATCAGAGGTCCTCAAACTATGGCCCATGGGCCACATGCAAATACAAGTATTCTATTTGTTCCTGTTTTGTTTTGTTTTTTTACTTCAAAATAAGATATGTGCAGTATGCATAGGAATTTGTTCATAGTTTTTTTTTTTTAAACTATAGTCCGGCCTTCCAACAGTCTGAGGGACAGTGAACTGGCCCCCTGTTTTAAAAGTTTGAGGACCCCTGTTATAGATTAACACATTTCTTTCAGTACCAAATATCTTGTCCAAATCCTAAATAAAAGTTATGACCATTGACTCATTGATGATTCTTATATTGATTTCATCAATGGGTTCCAGACTATATGGAGGCCTGATGCATGGAGTGGTTAAATTTAGCTGGTACTGTGTTCACAGTATTAGTGATGATTTTCCCAAGGTGGGCCTTTCTCTCTCTCTCTCTCTCTCTCTCTCTCTCTCTCTCTCTCTGTCTTTGTTAGAACCTAGTCAGAGGAAAAGCTTTTAGTTTGGTGGGTTTCAGTTGTGTTTTTTGTATGTGGTGTTTTGAGATAAAATTTATTACACAAAATTCAAAAATAAATATATAATTTAGTGGCTTATATTAGCATATTCACAAAGTTGTATGACCATCACCACTATACATATATTCCAGAACATTGCCATCTTTCCAAAAACCCTTACCTTCCAATCCCCATCCACTAGCAGCCACTAATCTACTTTCTGTCACTATGGATTTACATATTCTGGATATTTCATAAAATTTGAATTATATAATATGTGGCCTTTTGCAAGTGGTGTTTTTTTTTTTCACTTAACATAATGTTTTCAAAGTCCATTCATGTAGAATGTATCAGAACTTCATTTTATGGCTGAGTAATATTCCATTGTGTGGCTATATCACATTTTGTTTATCTGTTCATTTGTTGATGGACATTTCAGTTGTTTCCACTTTTTGGCTGGGGTGAATAGTGCTACTATGAATATTATTGTACAACTTTTATGTGGGAAAATGTAGGTTTACAGTGGCAAGTACACAAAACACAGAGTTTATTTTTTTAATCCTCACCTGTTGATATTCTTCCATTGATTTTTTAGAGTGGAAGAGAGAGGGAAAGACAGAAACATTGATGTGAGAGAAACACATTGATTGATTGCCTCCTACACGAGCCCTGACCAAGGCCCGACCAGGAGGAGCCTGCAACAGAGGTATATGCCCTTGACTGGAATAGAACCAAGGACCCTTCTGTCTGTAGGCTGATGCTCTATCCACTGAGCCAAACCAGCTAGGGCATGTTTATTCTTGTATTATTATTTATTCTTGCATTATATAGTCTTATATAAACCTACCTTTGCCCAAATGTTTTTACCTTGGAGTGGAATTGCTGGGTCATATTGTAATTCACATGGTAACTTTCATGGGAAACTTAGTTTTCAATTATATTTCACCTGGGTCATTTACCATCATGAAAGGCCAGTGCTTCATAAATGACTGCATCATCAAAAATACATTCCATCAGATGCTTGGCACTAAAAAATGTTTTGATAAGGTACATTGCAACTTGATTCTTTGGATCATCATGTATAAATTGTCTCATGTCAAGATAAACAACATAGCTTGAGGTGGTCCCATTTCCTGACCATTGGTAATGATCCCCACTTTCTTATGCTAAAAGACACCAACACAAAATTAGATAGTGCCCAGATCAGTGCTCTTTGATATGATTGTTGGGAAGGATGGGTTTGGCTTGTAGGAGAAGGATGATGCTATGCCCAATCTGACCTCTTGTTCTTTGCAGATGGAGGCTGGAGGCCTAGGTAGAAACTTAGAAGGAATAATTTTATTTCACTTTCCTTTATTAGCTGTTACCTCAGGGATTGATTCTTCTGCTTGTTTATTTTAAGGCCTCGCTCATGCTGTTGGATTCTTTAGAAGTTGGGCAATTCTCAACTGCTCATATAGTAAATGAAGGTATAGATTGGATGGTTTTGATATGGTAGCTGGAGCGTATTTCCTTAGCGTATGTGAGAATTTCTATTCACCTAGTGTGGAAAGCCAGTGCCCTGGTGTCTGTGAGTTACTGGAGCACTGTTGCACTTCCCTAGTCCAGATATCCACTCTAGTATCTTGCTTATCAGAATTCCCATTGTAGAGGGCTGTACTTGGGTACTGACCTTGGAGATGCATATGGGTTTATCTTTCCAATGGCAGATGAGGGGACACTAACCCAGCTATTCCAGCATCCTTTAATTAAATTTCTTATGGATCACCTCCAGTTGTTCTTTTCCCAGCCTTTCTTTACTTAGATGTGAGCAATGTCTAGGGGTACTTCTGATGAAACTCATGATTTACAGGCAGTGAGTAAAGTCCTCTTTCTATGTGAGTTACAGTTTCTCTAGCTGTCACTGTGTTGCCATCTGCATTTTATCATCCCAAACTCATGTTCTGAGCTTCTGGCAGCACCACTCGGCTTTACAACATTGAAATGGATGTATTTTCATTTTGTGTTTCTTATGATATTTCAGTAGGATTTGCGGAAGAAGGAAAAGAAATCTTTGTAATTGACCATTTCTTTTCTCTTGTCTAGATCAGGACAGTCCAATCCAACCTTTTATCTCCAGAAGGGCTCTCAAGAATATGTACTCAGAAAAAAACCACCTGGCTCACTTCTTCCTAAAGCACATAAGGTGTGGTAATGATACCTTATAATACAAGTGCAATAATACATTCTTTGTTGATAAATAAATGCATTTTATACACACAAAAACAATTTAAATTGCTTTTTAAAGTCATGTCATGATTATTAAATAGCAGAAAATTCATTTTATTTCTTAGATAAAAATTTCGCTTGAATTGTATTTCCCATTTTTGTTTTGAAAAAGGACTTGAGGCTGAAATTAAGTCTATAGGCTATTAATATCAGGCAACATCCAGTCTTTATATGGATTTCATTCCTTTTTGTATAGTTGGCTAGGAATATAGTCATTCAGTGAATATTTTCAGTGCCACTCATTTATAGATACTTTGTACCTTGATTCTATATTTAAATTATGTTTTTAAAAGCACATTACATCTTATAATAATATCTATTCACTGACTTATTGTAAAATATTTGCTATAACAATCCCCTGATCTTTTGGTGATAAAAAGAAATATTTGAATATCATTTTATAGTATTCTCTAAATACTAGATTTAGTGAGAATTATAAAATATTTTTTTAAATTAAGGGATTCTATTTTCAGAAAACATGAATTTTTAGAGAAGAAAACAGGAGAAGAAAGAAATCAAAGTCCTGGAGAACATTAATATTTATGATTATAATAATGTATAACAGGTGCTTCCCAGGCCCAGCTGACTTCCCGGGCCTTTGAGGGGTGGGCTTAATAGCATAGTAATGGAAAATGCTGATTCTGACTTTCTTGGTCCCATATCATATTCCCAGACACATGAAGTAACTTGGATGCTTAAGATAAAAAAAAAGTTGGGTAACTTTTTTTTAAATTCTTACCTGAGGATATGTTTTTGATTTTTAGAAAGGAAGGGATATAAAGGGAGGGGAGGAGGGGGGAGGGAGGGAGGCAGACATTGATATGAGAGAGAAACATTGATTGGTTGCTTCCCACACACACCCTTACCAGAGATCAAACCCACAACCTGGGTATGTGCCCTGATCAGAACCTGCAACCTTTTGGTGTACAGGATGTTGCTCTAACCAACTGAACCACCCAGCCAGGGCAAGTTGTGTATGAAACTTAACATGAATGAAGGAGAATCCCTACCTATCCAGAGATTTATGCCCCAATAAATAGCTCTACTTGACTCTCTTTTTTATAACATCCTACCAGAAGACACTGAACACAACATAATGTTCTCAGCTCAAGGATCTGGAGTACATTGTTTCAAGTCCTTTATTTTTCCCAGATCTGCATTGAAAAATAGCAGTGCTCCCATACTGTAATCCACTTTGTGACTCTCTAACCCACCACCATCCCACCCCACCCTATTTCCCAGAACCAAGGTGGTTATAAACACTTCTTGGCACTGCTGGCTTCTCTCACCTTGGTCATAGGTTTACTCACTTCCCTGCTCTAGTTATTGCAGCAGCAGCTGCTTTTTCCATGCTGTCAAAGTGAGCTGCATGGTTTCTTCTCCTGAGGAGGGATCAGGAGCACCACTGGGCAAGGGGACTTTGCTTGCAGATGAGTTGGCATCACAGTTCTCTGTAAACTGTGTCCTCGGGTCCTGAGTGATAGCCCATACACATTAGCTCACAAGTAGTTATTAAACTGTTCTGATCGAGGAGGCCCACTCTTCTCACTATCTTCTTTGGGCTCTTGCTTCAGTGCCAGCTTGCTTCTTGTTGCCTCCTTTCCCAATAGTTATCTTGAGCTGTACAGCAGCCTCAATTCCCAGGAAGGATCCCCATGCCCTGCCTTGGACACAAGCACCTCCATTGATCTCCAGAAGGAGCAGTTGATTTTTCCTTCTCCCAGTACCCACTGACCCCCCAGCATCCTGGAGCTGACTGTGCCAAGAGCATTAGAATTGAGACTTGCCTGCGCCCCCTGGGGAGACATGAGAGAGACAGAGTGAGCCAGTGATCAGGAACCTGCTGAGAACAAAGAGATGTTTATGATGATACCTGTGAAATATTGTGATCAGGATCTGTTGCCTTCATATATCCAGAACCAGGATTAGGCTCCATGAATATGCCTATCCTATTTAGCATAATTTATCATGTTTTAGTGCTGGCCTAATTTAGTGCTGCACAAAACTACATTTAAGGAAAATAGTAAGGGAACTATTATCCTGTAGGTCATTTAAAAATTTAATTCTAGTCTTAATGTTAGCTCACAAGTAGTTATTAAATTTCTATGTTTCTGATTTGTAATAATCTATCATCCTATTTAGATTGATAGAGAATTTAAAGTCCAGAAAGCTTTGTTTTCAATTGGATTCCCTGTTCCCAAGCCTCTATTGTACTGCAGTGATGCTTCTGTCATTGGAACAGAATTTTACGTGATGGAACATGTGCAGGTAAATTAACACAATCTTTGTTATTCTTTTGTTTTCAATTAAGAAGTTAGATGTTAACAAATGATAGTTTATTAATCATTTTAGATCATTAGTTTGTTTTGCAGACTTTTAATTTGAGCACAGTATTTTCCTCTAGGTGTCAGTAAAGAGCTATATGTAATGGCAATACCAAAATTGTCCAGAAAGTGAGGGGAAAAACTCCAAATTATAAATCAGTCCGTTAAGGATGATACATTTAAATTGTTTAAAAGCTTTTTATTTTTGTAAAATATAACTTGAAAGTCGTTTTTGTCCTTTAAGTTCACCTTGGCATATCTTTGCATTTTCCCTTTGGCATTATATGCTCTTAAATTAGACATGTTTCACAAATGAACATTTTTCAAGTATATTCTACAAATAACTTCTTTTGGTTGGAAAACTGTTATCCTTTTGTTTTGTCGGCAGTAGGGGATGGAGAAACTGCAAAGAGTTAGTATGAAAAGATTTATTTTGTTTTAAATTATCTATTGTAATTGCTTTCACAGGGTCGAATTTTTCGTGACATCACAATTCCTGGAGTTAGCCCAGCAGAGCGCTCAGCCATATATGTAGCCATAATAGAAACCTTGGCTCAGTTACATTCTCTGAATATAAACTCATTGCAGCTGGAAGGATATGGTATAAGTGCTGGGTATTGCAAAAGACAGGTAAGGAATCCACATACAGAGCTCTTTTCCTCAAGTCCTGAAATAATATACATTATTAGTCAAAATAAAAACCCATTACTTTATACTTTTCTGAAACTTGGCTTTAACATTTAAAATATTTTCTTTAAAAATTGATTTTAGAGAAAGGGAAGGCGGGATAGAAAAGAGAAAGAGAGAACTATATAAGAGAGAAACTTCATCAGTTGCCTCCCACACACACCCTGACTGGGGTTGAACCTACAGTCTGGGTATATGCTCTGACCAGGAATCGAATTGCCACCTTTTGGTGTATGGGATGAGGCTCTAACCAACTGAGAAACCCAGCCAGGGCAGCTCTAATATTTAATATTAGCCTTCAGTTTGACTTGTTTTAAACATAAAATAACTTTATATTCTTGATCAGATTTTGTTTATCAAACTTCTGAAAGGGATAGAATGTACATGAATGCAAATTTAAAACTGTTTCAGCCTTTTCACTTACTTTACCAACATATTTTATACAGTTTTTCCTTTTTAAATTAGGTTAACATATTTATTAAGCATGACTATGTTTAATTATATGTTAAGTACTGTGTTAAATATCAAGAAAATAGAAATAAGTTCTTTTCCCAATGGAGTTATGGTCATTTTAAGAAACCTGTACATGAATTTTACATACATGAAACTTGAAAATGGTATAAAAGAGTATGTAATCTAGTAGTAAGTTGTTTGGTACTCATCACGAAAGCTTTTCCATTCAGATGGTAGATATCAGTATACCCTTGCTTAAGTGGGGAAAGCTTCCTGAGAGAGATATATCATACACTGTATATTTAAAGAAGAATAAAATCTAGAGTGATAGGGAAGAGATGGTGAGCATTTCAAATCAAAGGAGCAGCAAGACCAGATATGTATGGGGCTGTTTTCCTTTGTACACATGTCTTTTTGAGGGAGTTGAGGGGAGAGAAAAGAGAACTAAGGTTTGGAGAGTACTCACTATATGCCAGATCTTTTTCATTTTTTTAACAGCCCTAAGACATAGGCATTAATGCTCCCATTCTGCAGATGAGGGTACAGGTTTTCAGGTCTTAAAACACAAATAAGTGGCTTAGGCATAATTTAAACCCAGGTTCATATGATTCCAAACAAAGATCTTTACTGCATTAAATTGAACAGAGATAACCTTGAGGAGTGGAGAGACAGTTATAAGCAGGTAATAATATGGTCTTAGTTGATGGAGTACTTTGAGAATAGGTTGATTTGTTTACATTCGTGTCTAAGAACAATAAAAAAGTTTTTACACTTCTCATACCTGTAATACATTTAGAAGATTCTATGGGTAATAAGAAAGAATATTTAAATTAAAAGTAAAAATCTCCCTTCTTTTAGCCCCATATTTCCTTTTTCAGGGTTTGCTTCTTGTGATCCTTTCATAATTTATTTTTCTATCCTTATTTGTGTGTGGGGCCGAAGGGGAAGTGTAGTGTGTGTGTGTGTGTATGCGCGCGCGCACATTCTTTTTTTCTTCCTCAAAATAGTTGCTTAATAAAAAAGAAGAGCCAGCATCGCTTGATTCCTAGGCCAGTATTCTGTTTGTATATGTGATAAAAAATCCATGCGAGCCCTAGCTGGTTTGGCTCAGTGGATAGAGCGTCGGCCTACAGACTGAAGGGTCCCAGGTTTGATTCCAGTCAAGGGCACATGCCTGAACTGTGGACTCAATCCCCAGTGGGGTGCGTGCAGGAGGAAGTCAATCAATGATTCTCTTTCATCATTGATGTTTCTCTCTTTCTCTCCCTATCCCTGAAGTCAATAAAAATATAGTCAATAAATTATTCTTGCGTTGCCAGTGTGGCTCAGTGTTTGAGTGTTGACCTATGAACCAGGAGGTCACGGCTCGATTCCTCTTCAGGGCACATGTCTGGGTTGTGGCTCAATCCCTAGTGGGGTGTGCAGGAGGCAGTGGATCAATGATTCTCTTTCATCGTTGATATTTCTCTCTCTCCCTCTCCCTTCCACCCTGAAGTCAATAA